AAAAGCAGGGTGCCAGAGCACAGCCTCGTCTGACCCCTTTGGAACTGAGGGTACAGACATCACAACCCGCAGCTGCCTGCCCTGGTTTCAGCACTGGTGTTTGCTATCAGCTCCAAGCACATATAATTGCATTAGCAGCTTAGGATCTCAATGGGTTCTCCCAGCGCTGGCCTTTTTCTGTTCCTCTCTGTTACATGAAAGGCTCATAAGAGAGAGAGAGAGAGCGGCGAGAAGCCACAGGCTGCTCTTAATGTCTTATGGGCAGAAACAGGGCATAACAGTAATTACTGTAATCATTGCATTTCCTCTAGGATATTTAGGGAAGTTCAATCTTACAGCTTGAAGTAAAATCCAGCATAGAATTATTTTTAATTTTTAATTATTTATATTACCAAACTAGCATGCTTATACTTTAAAAAAAAAAAACACACACACACACACACAGTCCCAGCCGGGCGTGGTGGCTCACACCTGTAATCCCAGCACTTTGGGAGGCAAGGAGGGATGATCACTTGAGGTCAGGAGTTCAAGACCAGCCTGGCCAACATGGTGAAACTTTGTCTCTGTTAAAAATACAAAAATTAGCTGGGCATGGTGGCAGTAACCTGTAATCCCAGCTATTCGGGAGGCTAAGGCAGGAGAATTGCTCGAACCTGGGAGGCGGAGGTTGCAGTGAGCCGAGATAGTGCCACTGCACCTCACCCTGGGCAACAGAGCGAGACTCTGTCTTAAAAAAAAAAAAACACAAAAAAAAAAACCGGCCCCTAAACAATGGAGAAGAATAAAAAAAAAAGGCCGCCTGTCATTCTCCATCCCAGTCCCATCCCCTAGAGAAGATAAAGAAATTTAAGTATTCTTCTAGAAATGTTATGTTCATATATAAGCATATATAGTCTACCCTTTCAAAATAAAGCATAAATGAGATTGTGCCATTGCCCTTGGGTAAAATGAACAATCTGATCAAGTATTTTCCTCTCTGGGAGAAGCAGCTTATCAATAGAAACATAGACAACAGGGACTCACCAGGACTCACTCAGAGAGGCCAAATTCACAAAGACAGAAAGTAGAATGCTGTCTGCCAGGGACCAGGGAGAGAGGAGGGGAGGGAGTTAGTGTTTAAGGGATCCAGAATTTCAGAAGAGGAAGAGGAAAAAGTTCTGGAGACGGATGGCGGTGCTGGTTGCATAATGAATGTACTAAAACCACAGAACTGCACACTGGAAAATGGTTCAAATGGTCCATTTTATGTTTATATATATATATATATATATATATATGAAATAATAAACAGATAGGTGAGCAGATAAATAACTAAATAAACCCAGCCTCACCAGGACCAATTCTGGTGTTTCAATATTCCAGAATTATCAGAGCAGCTGATGGACAGTTTGAGACTGTCCTCATTAGATGTTCTCATGTCCTGTGTTAAGGACTTAAGACTCAGAATCATGGATTCCAGGCATGTGGGAGTGGTACGGACAGGAGCAGGAGTGGGAGCCCGTGTACAGGATGCGTTAGGGAAACAGAACTTTGCTATGTAGGGAGGGTATCTCGAGGCCAAGCCTTGACAGAGGCTGTGACCTGCGTCTCCTCCCAACCCCGTGTTACCTGGTCTAGGAAATGGCCTGAGCTAGGAGGCGGGAAGCGGGGCTTGGTTTTCTTGCTGTGAGCCAGATCTGTTGGAGTGGGATAATGCTGAAGTCAGAGAGACTTCTGAATCGAACCCTATAGTCACAGAAGTAGTTGGGGAGGGGGTGGGCTGAGAGGTGCAGGGAGGTGATGAAGAGAAGCTGGGGCTGTAATTCTGCCCTCATCCTAAAAGGCTCTATCTCATCCTTTAAAATCCCAAATCAACTGTAACCAGAACTTTTTTTTTTTTTGAGATGGAGTCTCGCTCTGTTGCTCAGGTGTGCAGTTGTGCAATCTCAGCTCACTGCAACCTCCGCCTCCTGGGTTCAAGTGATTATCCTGCCTCAGCCTCCCGAGTAGCTGGGACTACAGGCGCATGACACCATGCCTGGCTAATTTTCGTATTTTTAGTAGAGATGGGGTTTCACCATGTTGGCCAGGTTGGTCTCCAACTCCTGACCTCAGGTGATCCACTCACCTCCACCTCCCAAAGTGCTGGAATTACAGGCATGAGCCACCGCACCTGGCCATGACCAGAACTCTTGAGAGCATGTGCTCTCAACACTCAAAGTCCAAAGTCCAAAACTCAAGTTCAGGAAGAGAGTGGTTCTTCAGCTCTCCACCTCAAATTTTGTTTCTAGAAGGTTGCATGTAGGTCTGAAGAGTGACAGCATGTTTGTTTAACAGGAACTCAGAGCCAGCAGATCAGGAAAGGATACTTAAAAGGTTTTGAGTTTGGGCTACAGAGGTTTAAGGTAGGTCTTTCATGGCAAGGAATGTTTGAAATTGGGCAAGATGTATGACATAACGATTTAGGAATGAGTGGATACAGGTAGGTGAGTTGAAGGGGGTTCTGACAGGTAAGACTGTTGTCTGGTAAGTGAACTGTTTGCTCAAGTGAGCAAACCATTGTCCTGATAGGAAAGTGATTTGCTCAGACAAATTAGCTTGCATTAATTTCCTGAAGCCAACAGTGAAGTTATTTATTGGTTCAGAGGTTTAATTTTCTTAGCAACAATTTTCTGGAGCAGAGAGGAAGTCACTGACACAGGTGGTCTCAATGCTCAGTCCAAGAGTTGAGTTGTGTAGCTCCAAGTAGACTCATTTCCCAGGGTCACCTGCTGGGCCATAATCAACAAGGTACAAGCTTAAGAGAGCCATGCCAGGTTTTCAAGTTGCAAGGAAGACAGATTCACTGGTGTTTTCTTGAGTCACGGGTGTTGGTTTTAAGAAACTGGTGAAGTAAGGAAGCTAGAACTCTCCCAGGAACCAGGAACAGCTCTCACTGGCAGGCCTCAAGGAGGAGACCCGAGCTGGAGGACTGGAAGGTGGTTCAGATGTTTCAGAAGCTACAGTGGCTCCAGCAGTCAGACTGGGGTGTGATCTCACAGCATCAGGAGCCCTAAACACTGGCCCAAGGCTCAGCTTAGAATGCAGCTTGACCAGGTAAACCTGGAGACTGCATCAACACCAGCAGCCTCCAATACCCCTGACCAGCTCATGGCCTTAATCCCAAACCCAGGTCCTAAACTACCTCTCACTGTGCATCACAAGTCACTGCCTGTCTTCTTGGCTTCCGATCTGCTGCCTTCTCCGATTCATGGCCTCACTTCATCCATTGATTACCCTTGACTTTGAGCTACAGGTTTCACCAGCTAACTGTGACTCTAGCCTCAGCTCTGGGGCCACACAGCCTCAAGCACCTGGGTCTTGCCCCAGCTCCAGATGCCTGTCCTAGGTAGCCCATCCTTGGGAAGCAGCAGACAAAACTGCATGTCAGAGACATAGCTCTGGTTGTCATGGGAAGACTGTATTGGAAAGAGGTCAAGGAGAGACAAGAATCTAAACTAAGGAGATGGCAGTAAAACTGGAGAGATGGCAACATAAGAAAGACCAGTGATGAATCTGTAGATGGGGAGGGATGAGTCAAGGATGGCTTCCAGTTTCTGGCTTGCTTAAGCCTGTGTGGGAAACAGAAGGAGGAGAAGATTCTGACGATCTGCTGCTGCTCAGGTCGACTTCGAGGATTCTGTGGATCACCCAGGGGAGAGGCTGGGTCTGTGGGTAGAAATAGAAACCTGGGGTTCAGGCTGGGGCTGGGGTAGGAGGCTTAGGAGATAATAGAAGTTGAATCTGGGAGTGCGGATGAAATCCCTGGGAAGTGCCAGGATTTAAGAGGCTGGTGGATGCAGAAGAGCCTGCCAATGAGAGGGAGAAGGAGCGCCAGCGATGGAGGAGGAAACCCACACAAATAACGTCTGAGACAAACACACACACACACACATAATGGTAAAGATGATGGACGATGGACACAGGCAGGGCACAGTGGCTCATGCCTATAATCCCAGCACTTTGGGAGGCCGAGGTGGGCGGATCACTTGAGCTCAGGAGTTCAAGACCAGCCTGACCAACATGGTGAAACCGCCCCCCATCTCTACTAAAAATACAAAAATTATCCAGGCCTGGTGACACACACCTGTAGTCCCAGCTACTCGGGAGGCTCAGGCAGGAGAATCGCTTGAACCTGGAAGGTGGAGGTTGCAGTGAGCAGAGATCGTACCACTGCACTCCAGCCTGGGTGACAGAGTGAGACTCTGTCTCTCAAAAAAAAAAAAAGAAGAAGAAGAAGATGGACACAGCATGAACAGCAGGTGAATCTGGGTAAGGGATAAGTGGGTATCTTATGTACTATTCTTCAACTTTTCTGTAAGTTCAGAATTATTTCCAAATGAAAATTAGAAACACAAAACAAGGAAATGTACAAGAGAAAGATAGTCAATTATATAGACAGACCAAGTCAGATGAAGACTGAGGAGTATTCATCAGATGTACCCACAAATGTTCTTTGGGGATCTTGGCATGGGTACCATCCATGGGAAGGAGGGGACAGATGCCAGGCAGCAGGGTTAGTCAGTGAAATGGGAGGAGAGGAAGTGAGAAGGTGAGCGAGGTAAGAGGCTTGGCTGTGAATGGGAAGATAGGATAGGCTGTGGCCCAGGAATGACCCTCCAAGCCCCCACAATGGAAGCAATCCTTCCAAAGCACTTTGCACCCCAACATGGGGCACAAGAGGGGCCCTTCAGTGCTTGACAAATGGATGCATGAAAAGATGGATGAGTACATTTTCAACAAGGACCAAGCGAGCCTAGCCTCGGGGCTGCAGGCTCCTGGGCAGTGAGTGTTAATGGGGTGGGGGCTTGGTCACCCTGGGAAGGGGGCTGAGCAGGGGATCCTGTGTCCCCCAGCCTCATTCCACACACCGTGCTGCCTGCCTCTGATCCCCTTCACACTCAGACTCTGCTTGCCCAGGCTGCCCCAAGCTCTGCTCATCTCTACTCTGCACCCACTCCCCGACCTGGTGTTTCCCTCAGGTTCACACGCGAGGCGGCTCAAGACTGCGAGGTGCTGGGGCAGCGCATCCCCGCAGGTGCTGTGCTAGAGATGGCCGTGGGTGCCCTGCACCATGACCCTGAGCACTGGCCAAGCCCAGAGACCTTCGACCCTGAAAGGTGAGTGCTGTGCCTTTTAAAAAGCTCTGAAGGCATGTGTGTGGGGTATAAATTTCCCAGTGGAGGCAGCAGCCAGGAGGCACAGACTTAGCAAAAGTGTCCCCAGATAGTCAAAACTTATGGCAATTCAGATAGATGTTTGCAAGGCATAACTTCCAAAGGAAATAATTATACCATTTTTTCAAGGTCCAAACTGAATCCAGACATTTAGCATTTCAGCAGCCCTGCATGCAAGAAACAAGGCAATTTCAAATGATTGTCTTCCATTCATTCAAGCCAGGACATGGGATACAGGATTGTATTTCAGGTCTGCACTGGAGAGTAACAGAACATCATTTCCTGTTTTAAAAACGGGCGTCTATGCCAAAACAACAGCTTCAGCTAATGTCTCCATGAATCTAAATTCATGGGATCTGCTGGTTGACCTGGGTCCCCTCCTTCCACCACCTGGCTTTGGTTCATTGTCTCCTCTCATTTCTGGACTCTGTGATTGGAAACATCTGAGCAGGCGGCCACACCCTGGTCCTCATCAGAACCAGTCAATACCCACTCTGTGTGCATGGTCTGGCAAGGGAAAGGCTGGCCCAGCACCAGTTGTGTTTTCACCTTTCATGGCTCCAACTGAATTCAGCCCAAGTCTACAACCCAGTCACTGGGAAAGCGTGAGCAATGGGATCTACACAAATAATATTCCACAGACATCAGCTCCTGAACACGCTGCAGCCACAGGGCTTACAGCCTCACAAGAAAGTCCAGGGTAGTAAAAAGTGAGCTCACTGTTACAGAAGAGTGCCACCTAGCTTCACTGTCATGGGCTGCACGCTGCAGGCAAATGCACTGCTTGGTAGGAGATTCAGCAGTTCTGAGGAAGGGCCTCCAGCTCTCCAGGTACTGCAGCTCCCAATGGTTCAAGTGTCTAGTGCAGGGGCCTGCAAAGCAAGCATGCGCAGGAGAGGTGCTGCCAGTGTGGTTCAAGAGACCTGCAGGGCAAGCCAGTAGGACACACCCCCCAGGGTGGGCCCGGGAGGTGCTGAGGTGCCTGGTACCCTGCCAAGGAAGTAAGCAGGTGGTGGCTGGGTCATCCTGTGGGAGGGAGGTGGTGCCCTGGGTCATCCTGTGGGAGGGGAGGTGGTGCCCTGGGCCCAGTTGAGGACTAGGATCGCCAAGCCCTGGGGTTCAGGGATGCCGTGTTTAGACTCTGATTGTGGGTGGCGGTGAGTCTGTGGGCTTATTAGCCACACATCGAATTCCTAAGGAGAGGCAGGGAGGGCGCTGTGGACATTCCAGGTAATTCTGCAGATTCAGCTCTGCCTCTGGGGCTGTGCAGGAAGACAGGAGGCCAGGAGCAGAGAGGGACTGAGGCTCAGGAATGAGCAGCCATAAGCCCCCAGAGCCTTGGGAGCATCCTTGTCTCAGATGCAGGGGTGGCTCAGCTGGAGTACAGGGCTGCAGAGGGGAGGGAGAGGGTGTTCTGAGCCAGCCCTGACCACACGGACCTGCAGGTTCACCGCTGAGGCCCAGCAGCAGCACCGGCCCTTCACGTACCTGCCCTTCGGGGCTGGCCCACGGAGCTGCCTGGGGGTGCGGCTAGGGCTGCTGGAGGTCAAGTTGACACTGCTCCATGTGCTGCACAAGTTCCAGTTCCAAGCCTGCCCTGAGACCCAGGTGAGGCCCCACTGCTCAGAGGCAGGGGCAGGGGCGGGGGTGGGGGGGCCACCCCAGTTCTCTGCATGAGAGCGGGCCAGCCTGGGGGCAGCATCAGGCTCTGCCTCCGTGAGCCTGGGTGAGCTCCTTAACCTCTCTTGGCCTCAGTTTCTTGATCCATAAAGTGGAGATGGTAGTAACACCCTCTACCTCTTAACGTCCTGTGAGGATTCAGTGAGTTCACACAGCACTCAGATAAGCCCTGGCACGCTAACCCGAGGACATGTTAATCACTGTTATTAGTATTGTTCTCTGCACATCAGGGCTGGACCTCACCTCGCTGTAGCTCTTCTCACTTCCACAAAGGGCACAGAGACAATGGCATTTGCAGTTGTGACACATGCCTGCCTTTGTGGGGTGGGGGGTGCATGGCTTGTCCTACAGAAGCTGGAGACACTTCCTCTGGCTCCTCCTGACAGAGCAAGGTGCTATCTGCTTGGAGGGGAAGCTGAGGGGTTTCAACTCCTTGAAAGGTACCCCCAGCTTTGCCTTCCCCTCTTGTGCAGACACTCATATGTCCCCATGGCCACAGCCTGGTCCCTCTCACAAGTGGTGACACAGACTCTTCCCAACAACATATGCCTTCATTCCTGAGGTCCCAGACTGGTACACAGACCCTGTCCTCACCCAGAGAGCTGGGCTCCCCTGAAATGGGGCCCTACCCACTTTTCCAGCCCTATTTCCCCCGCACATCACACACTCCAGATCCAGCAGACCAATTCCTCAACAGGTCAGGGAGTTGTATCACCCCCTTTCACACTCACAGCAATCTCGCAGAGTAGGAGTGACTATTCCCATTCTTTAGATGAGGAACTAAAGCTCAGAGAGGTTAAATAACTTGCCTAAGGTCACACAGTTGGACTGCAGGCTTCGTGATGGCAGGGACCCAGCCTGTCATATTCACTGTTGGACTCTGCAGCATCTAGCTTAATGTCAGGCGCATGACAGGTACTCACTCATTCATTCAACATGAATGAGCAAATGGATAAGCAGCCAGAGATGCAAGAAACGGGGGTCCTCACCCAGATCCTGCTCACTCCCAAGCTCTCCCTCCTTCCTGACATCCGACTGCATCTCTGCACAGCGTTAGCTATTCCCTGTCCATTCCGACCACTGCTGTCCCCTGCACCTATCCTCATGCTGGTCCTGCCACCCGGAACCCTCCGTTCAGCTGCAGACCTCGACAGGCAGGCACAGGAAGGCATAAGGACACAGTGACAGCGACAATTCTAGATTCAAACAGGCAGTGCCTCTGACAGAGAACATGGGACCACCTGCTGGTCCTGGAGGAATAATGAGCTTGGGTGGGGGACACAGAGTCTGAGGTACTGAAATTGAGCGCATTCACACACTCTAGGCTGGAGAGAGGGAGGGGCAGATCGACAGCGCAGAGCCAAACCAAGTGAGGTCAAGGGGCAGACGGAGGAGCAGCCCCACTGCGTCAGGGCTTCCACGTGTGTGGGGCTTGCCTCACTTCCCCATGATCTCTATGTAACAGCCAGCCCAGTCTCCCAAAACACTGCTTATGCCTGGCCCTCCCCAGCTTAAGAACCAGCCATGAGTCGAGGGCTCCCCATTCTTCCTTGTATGCTGACAAGTGCTAGGGCCTGCAGCTTTTTCAGATGCCTTTGAGGGCTGTGGTTCCTACAGGAAACACGTACAGCCCCAAGCAGTAAGACCCTGGTGACCCTTTGCTGTCACATTAGCCACTAGGTCATCATTTTTCTTATAGTTCCAGAGGAAACCCAACTCCTTGAGTAATTCTTTGGCTTTTCTTCAAAGCCCCAAGTCCACCACTGGCTCTGCCTTTTGGACATAGGAAAGCTTTCTGGATGTCAGTGAGGCAAGACCATAGCACATATGAGCAGGAACAGCATGAAGCTGCTCTCCCCAGAGCCCCTCAGCCAGAGGGCATTGCTGTTACTGGCCAGGACTGGGGAGTGAGATGGGGAGGATCAGCAGGGATGGCTGCAGTCACTGAAAGATAGGTTTGGGCCTTTGCTCTCTGCTTTCTTCTTGTGTGACCTTGGACAAGGGACTTGGCCTTCTTGAACCTCCAAGTCTTCATTTGTACAGTGAGACGCTACTACCTCTTTGACAAATATTTTAATTTTCTCTACTTTAGGTACCGCTGCAGCTAGAATCCAAATCTGCCCTAAGTCCAAAAAACGGTGTCTATATCAAGATTGTATCCCGCTGACACAGAAGGCCGCCGGGTGGAGGGAGGGCACCCCCAAATTCAAAGAAAACCCTGAGTGTGGATATTCAGAATTTTGGGAAAATGTCACTGAAGGGATTGAAAGAGTGCCTGGCATGCAAGGATAAGAGGTTCTTTCCATAACATTTCCTAAATGCTTAATAAATGTTTGTTGCACTTAGTTTTGACATTGCCAATGGGGTTTGAACCAGTGCTCTAACTCCCTAAATGAAGGACTGCTGATAAATAAGCGAAAATGTAGTTTTGACAAAACAACTGAGAATGTGGGGTTTCAAAGGAAGTCCCAGGCTTATGCTGAAAGGAATCCATGGTGCAGGGCACATGAGGACACCCAGGTAAGCCTGTCCCGATGGCACCAGCTCATGGCTCTTTCGGCTTCTTGTGCATTGTGGAGTTGTAGAGAATGACATTTATCAGAAGTTCAACCTCAACAGTGGTTCCAAAGCTTTATAATGCTTTGATTTTCCTAGGTAGGGTAGTACCAACTTTCTAGTCAAGTTTTAATCGACAGAAAAATGAGAGAGTCTGAAAAATGACATACTTTTTCTTTTAAAGAATACTGTATTGGCCGGGTGCAGTGGCTCACGCCTGTAATCCCAGCACTCTGGGAGGCCGAGGCGGGTGGATTGCCTGAGGTCAGGCATTCGAGACCAGTCTGGCCAACATGATGAAACCCTGTATCTATTAAAAATACAAAAAAATTAGCCAGGCGTGGTGGCGGGTGCCTGTAATCCCAGCTACTTGTTAGGCTGAGGCAGGGGAATTGCTTGAACCAGGGAGGTGGAGGTTGCAGTGAGCCGAGATCGCGCCACTGCATGCCAGCCTGGGTGACAGAGCAAGACTCCATCTGAAAAAGAAACAAAAAAACAAACAAACAAACACTATATTAATTTTGATCAAATAATCAAAACACAGAGGTGATTTTTTGTAGAAGTAATTATTGTGCTGCTAAGCAGTTCACATTCAACCAAGCACTTGCAAGGTCAGTCTCAAGGTCAGCCACCAGCAGCTGTGCACTCATGGCTGCTGGTGAAGAGAAGCATCACCTCCGTGCCTCAGGGGCCTCTTCTGTAAAATAAGGAGGCTGGCCCCGATCAAAGACCTCTTCCTCCTCTAGTTGACACCTGAACAGCTTTAAGGGGCTGAATGTTGTATAGAGAACGATCTTGCAGAAATCTGGAAGCCCCTTATGTGACACCCAGATGCTGATGACCCACCTTTAGAAACTTCAGGCCGTTTTGCGAGTGTTGGCAGAACAGGTTTCCACATACTCACTGCTGGGACTGCTACCTCCAATGTTTGATGGTCCACCATCCCCTTCAGCCCAGAGCACCCACTGCGTCCCTCAAAGTACCCCTTGGGGGGGCCCTTTCTCTCATTCTCTGGCCTTCTGGGCAGGAAGAGGACACCCCAGCTGCCCAGCATTGGGCCAGGCCTGTGAGTGACTGCTGCCTCAAGATGCAGGGCTGTCCTGTGGCCCTCCCCACACCCTTGTTGCCACCACCTGCCCTTCTCCATTACCTGGCCCCTCTGCAATGCCCAGCCCGGGACTCACTCACTGAAGAAAACCATCGGCCTCCCTGCCTGTCCCACAATCCCTGACCTCCCCATGGCCACCACCACCATAGACCCTCAGCCTGCAGACAGGCCCAATGGTGCACTCAGCTCCCTGCCTGGAACACAGCCCCACAACCTGAGCCCTCCCTTGGGCCCTCTGGCCCCACTCCCCGGGCCGCCAGCTCCATCCAGCTTCCCTCACCTTCCCCGTTCAGGTGGTCATCACCTTCAGACACAGTGGTAGAGGCCACCTCATGTGCTGGGGTCACTGGACTCCAGTCCTTCTACTGTGTGAACCCACTAACCCCACCTCTGCTTCAGTCCCACTGTTCACATCCAATACCAGCTATCACAGGGCAGGGAACTGTACAGCTTGGTCCTCCAAAAAACCCTCTTGCTAGATTCCCAACTGGGTCCTCACAAAGATTCTGGCCAATCCCACACACATACACCCATGTCCCAGACCCTACCACCTCTTGGCACCAAACATCTTGAGAGTCACAGTCATTTCGACCCCTTCCCATCACAACGTCCACCCTTTCTGCACCGGCAGGAACAGCTCCCTCCCCGTCATCAGGCAATCTGGCCACATGGCTCCCACCCTCCCTAGCATTGCTGGTCCAAGGAGTTGCTCTTCCTAACCTGCTTTCTCCCAGGTCACCCAGTCATGGCTGCCGCAGTCTTCACAGCTCAGTGGACTTTTCCAGAGCATTTGAGCACCTCCCACCAGATCCCTCTGGCCGCTCTCCCCATCTACACCCTCAATGAACCAGTTCTGCTCCCCGAATCGCCTCAGCTCCCAGATGATTCAGAAGCATAGGATCAGTTCACTTACATGTGACCAACAGACATGCATCTGATTTAATGGTTTTCTTTGACACCTCTTTGCCCCCTGCCCAACTACATCATAGCAGGACCAATGACTTAATGAAAAAGCAATGAGTGAAATGGCAGGATCAGTCAGGCTGCGAGGGAAATTTGGAGGGGGTTCTGAAAATCATACCACGGATAACCACGTGGCTGACCCAGCTGCTGGGTGAAGCTGTGTTGTTCTTGCTGTTTCTCTGGTCACTTACCTTGGCTCTCCTCCAGCTTGATTGTACTTGCCTGTGTTAAGGTTTCCGATCACTCCAAAGATAGAAAAACAGGTTCATACTCACCTTGGACCTGAGAAATACAGGCAAGCCAACTGAAGCCCAAGCAGCAAGCTGCCAGCAGACACATGTCCTCAGGAAGGTGGAGGCTGGGCAAAAAGCAGGTAGTGAGGACCGAGCAGGGAGGGCTGCCAGCCCCTCTGCCAACAGGACCAGAACCAGCCAATGCCCAGAAGGGAGGCTCCTGTAAACTGCCACGTCGGGGACACACACAACACACTCTCCACATGCACAGCACATTGCTCAATGGTGAACCTGGCTCTTATGGGGCCTGAAACTTACCTATGAATTGGAGGAAAGAAAAAAAATATGTAATGTTTGCAAATTTTACCAAAACCTATGACCACGTGAGCATATTGCTAGGGCCCCTCCTAGGGCCTGGGGAGGGGCTCCAGCAAGTGAGGGGCCCTGAACCTTCAGCTTCATTGTCTTCATAATAAACCCACACATAGCTCACCAAGCCGTGACATCAGCTCTGTCACAGCCCCGATACGGTCTGAACGTTATGACCCCCAAAATTCCAATGTTGAAATCCTCACCCCTGAGGTGATGGTATTTAAAGTAGAGGTGATGAGACCACCAGGGCGGAGCCCTCATGAATGAGATTCAGTGCCTTATAAAAGAGGCCCTTACACCGTGTGGGGTTACAGTGAGAAGACTGAATCTATGAGGAAACAGGAGGCTGGACTTTCCAGACTCCAAACCTGGGAAATAAACGTCTGCTGTTTATGAGCCGCTCAGTCGATGGTGTTTTGTTACAGCAGCCCAAATGAACAAAGGCAATCCCTGACTCTCAGAAAAACGCCTGGCACCCAGCAGGTGCTCAATCAATAGACGCAGACAAATGAGCTTCAGTCTTCATCCACTTTGGATAAATTTTCTTTTATTTCCATACTCTTTTGTGACATGTGTGGCACAGGTATTCAATCTCACGGGGATGTTTATTAAAACTCGCATTCGGAGGGTGTCCAGTGTGCTTAGGAAATGTGGATTTGGGCACTCACAGGCCAAGCCTGGGGGTCCTCGGGGAAGCTACTCCTCCAGGTCACCCGCCAAGTGGATGTGCTTCCTTGGGCAATGGGTGACCCTACCAGGACAAGGGGAACCAGCAGGGACTCGATGGCACCACACAGCAGCCACCTGTTCTGACAATGTAACACAGACCAACTAATGCCAGAGCCCAGGAGAAGCCACAGCAGAGCTGCCTGGGTTGGTGTCAGAGCAACAGGCGGAAGTGACTATGCCACCCCTGGGCTGTCCTCCACCAGTGGCTACTGTGTCATTCTGGTAAAACTATGATGCCATGAGACTCTGAAAAACCGAATCACTGCAGAGACAAACTCATAAAAATTAAAACCAATCCATAAAATTGTATCTAGAAACTCTGTCCCTGGTGCCAATAAGCAGCAAAGTCAACAAAGAGTAAAAACTAAAACTTCAACACATTATTAAAAAGCAAAAACTGGACTCAACTACAATCACTTCTGGTTAGTCCACTAGTGAGCCCAAAAGTGACTTAAAAGTAAAAATCATTATTAGCAATAGATTAATAATATAACTTCATTGAGAGGTCAACATTAAATGAATAGTTCATTAAAAGTTTTCTGTTTAAAAAGAAAAGGAAAGGCCCAAATAGCCATTTCAAGGCAGAGCAGGCAAAAGGCCTGGAACACTCCGGTGCACTCACTGTCGGCTGCTGAACAGGGAGCCCAAGGCCAGCAGGATGGAGGGCGTGACCGAGGGCTTGGAGGAGGTGGTGTACTGGATGAGATACTCCGGGTAGACCTGGTGTTTCTCAAAGATCACAAAGATGGATGGGTCAGACACGCTGTTCACGCAGCTATCATAGAAGGTGTTGCTCCGGCCCTCCTTGGCCGGGGGACGGACAAAGGAGGCATTGCCCCTGACGAACTCGCCCACCAGCACCCGGGCCAGGAACATTGTGTGGGTCTGCGTGTCGGATTTGCTGTAGTGGTGGGAATACGCAGCATCTCGGGCAAAGTAGCTCCCTGAAATGACACACAAGGGCTCAGCTGGGTGCCTGATGGAGGGGCCCGCAGCCAGGAAGGGTCAGCCCACTCCGGACAGCGTCCTGGTGATGTGCAAAACCAGGGGCCTCTACTCTTCCGCCCTGCATCTCCCTCCCTCCCTCCCTCTGTGCCATGTCTCCACTCTCCCTCATGAAGTCATACGCATCAGCAACACCAACACCCTTCTGAGTGGCAGCATCTGAGGAGTTACTAAACTGAGAGCGCAAACTCCTTTCAAGTTCCAGATCTGCCCCACAAAACCTAAAGGCCTCTGGACACGTCACTACTTAATCCCCAAAACCTCAGATTCCTCAGGCATAAAATGGGGCTGTTCAGCCCAACCTCACAGGGTTGTCATGGAAAATGAATGAGATCCCATATATGGAAGCAGTCTGAAGACCCCGGCAGCCCAATGAATAGAATTATGAGCCTTGT